GGAAAGACTGCTGAGTGCCTCTCACTTGCAAAGTGGGGTAACCTGTGCACTGTGGAAACACCCAAGGTCAGCAGAGTCCTGGGCCCCAAGAGTGAGGCCCTTCTGACTCTTAGGGTACACAGAGACAATCGGGGCTCTGAGTCAGCAAGACCTTGGTTTTAACCCTGGATATCTTACTGACAAGCCATATGATCCTGGACAAATCATCAAGCAGCTTTGGAATATGGGGATGATACCTACCTCATAGTGATACTGTGGGAATGCCATGAGATAATCTAAGGAAGGCGCTAGAATGGCATGCATGGTGGAGGTGCTCAATAAAGTCTCCCTCCAATGAAGCAGGTGTACATTCTTCTCTCTCTCAGGATGCACACACACACACGCACACACACGAGTGACCTGAATTTACGGGGAAGGCAGAGTCTTGTTACCTCATAAACAACCAATGGGGCACTGTCTACGCGCGTGTGGACACGTGGTGTACACGTTCTTGGGAGTTGCACAGGGGCAGGCCCAGCCCCGGATCTCCCTGGGCAGGCAAATGCAGGTCCTCCTGGCACCACCAAGGTGCGCTGAACAGTATGTAAGCTCGGCATGTAAGGAGTGGCCGGATTCTCAAAAGGAATCATCTCCCTTTCCACTGCTGCAGATTGGGATCACCCACAGCCATGGAGGAGCACACTGGCAAACCGCTTTCCACACAGGCGTGCACACATTCGCCCGCACACATCACACCTCCTCCCTGCTTGTCTGCAGGGGCTAGAGATTGGGAGTAGAGAGAGCAAACTGTCCAAAGGGCAGCTGAGGATGGAGAAAGAGATTGAGCGTAGGGTTGGAGGTGGGGGCTGAAGGAGAAAGGCTGAAGGCCTGGTAGGGTGAGCAAGTGAGAGCAGGGGAGTGGGGGCCGGAACCTGGGGGCAGACAGAAGAGGGAACCTGGCTGTGAGCAGAAAGGGCTCTGAAGATCTTGAAGTGGAGCTAGGCAGAGGAGGGCTGGAGATGCCTGCAGGGGAGGAGAAAGGGGCAAAAGAGGAGGTGAATTGCTTTGGGAGAAGTGGAGAGTAGGGAAGGGGAGTACTTCAAGGTGAGCAGCTCCCGCACCAGGCACCTGGCAGTGACGTTACCTGCAGTGGGTGCCAGGCAGAAAGGGAGCCCTGACCAGGACGAGGAAGCCGGGGAGTGCAGTGAGGGGGCTGTACCAGTGGGCGTGAAGGTGGAAGGTGCGGGGTGGGCAGGGTGTGGTGCGAAGCTGGAAATGAGCGGGAGCTGGGAGTTGAGGTGGTTTGGAGAAATGGTTTAAATCTCACTGTTAAATGTGCGTGCCGGGTGATCCCCCTAAATGCCGCATAAACCCCGCTTAACCTGTCCCTCCCACTTCTAAACCGCCCTCTAAATGCAGTAACCAGCCGGGCATCTGATGCCATCCTCCCCCCTGCAACGTAAACCTGCTAAATGCCCTCCCCTGCCAGACCGCCCCCACTTTGGGATGGGGAAGGAAGCGGTGCAACAACTTGGCCACAGATAAACCTATTTAACCTCTGACCTTTGACCTTCCAGCTGCCTTTTCTTTCATATCCCTTTCCTTTTCTTCTTTCTCCCTCTTTTTCTTTGGGTTGCTCCTGCCCCCAGGGTGGGGCGGCTCTGGATGGGAGCCTAGGGAGGGTGCCTGGGGAGAAGAGGGGCCCAGCATTTCTGTTCTACTTTCCCCCTCTTTCTGTTGGATGTTGCTGCTTACTCTGGGTCTCCTGAGAAATGCATAATTACTTTTCTAACTCCTTTGGACTTCGCCGCCTGAGAAACCTACTGTCTTTCTAAACTTTTCCAAGGAAACTTTGATAACGAGCGCCTGGCGATTGCTAGACAGAGAATCCCCTACCGGCTTGGTCGAGTAGTAGATGAGTGGCTGCTCGACAAAGGTCCCCCTAAATGCCGCATAAACCCCGCTTAACCTGTCCCTCCCACTTCTAAACCGCCCTCTAAATGCAGTAACCAGCCGGGCATCTGATGCCATCCTCCCCCCTGCAACGTAAACCTGCTAAATGCCCTCCCCTGCCAGACCGCCCCCACTTTGGGATGGGGAAGGAAGCGGTGCAACAACTTGGCCACAGATAAACCTATTTAACCTCTGACCTTTGACCTTCCAGCTGCCTTTTCTTTCATATCCCTTTCCTTTTCTTCTTTCTCCCTCTTTTTCTTTGGGTTGCTCCTGCCCCCAGGGTGGGGCGGCTCTGGATGGGAGCCTAGGGAGGGTGCCTGGGGAGAAGAGGGGCCCAGCATTTCTGTTCTACTTTCCCCCTCTTTCTGTTGGATGTTGCTGCTTACTCTGGGTCTCCTGAGAAATGCATAATTACTTTTCTAACTCCTTTGGACTTCGCCGCCTGAGAAACCTACTGTCTTTCTAAACTTTTCCAAGGAAACTTTGATAACGAGCGCCTGGCGATTGCTAGACAGAGAATCCCCTACCGGCTTGGTCGAGTAGTAGATGAGTGGCTGCTCGACAAAGGTAATTAACCAGAACTAATTAATTAACTAACTTTAAAAACACTATCTTAAAGGTGCAGAGCTCTCTCTTCCCCGTCCGAGTTTTCACCAGCACCCACCCCCAAGAGAAGGGACGCTTGTCCAGCCAGATCGCTCCTGTCCCTTTTGTAGTCAGGGGTCTGCACGGTTCAGAGTGGTGGCTTGCGGGCCGGGGCAGGCAGGTTTTCCTCAAAGAGAGCCCTGCTGTCTTTCTCCACCTGGGAATGGACGAGGGTGACCCACCAGGGCCCTGCCCATGTGGGCAAACCAGGAGCAGGCAGAGTGCAGGGAGCGGGTAGGCTTCCTCCACCCGCCGCCATCTTGGGGGCTTCCTGAAGGGCCAGTGAGGGCCATGGGGGTATTTAGAGGCAGGAAGGCTTGGGGAAGCAGGAAGAGCTGGTCTGAAGGTGTAAGGAGAGGTTGGAGGCTTGCCCTGGGCCATCGGAGAGGAGGGAAGGGCGAGGGTCTCAGATCCTATGGAAGAGACCCCCAGAGAGCATGCTTGTGGAGCTGCTGTCTCTGGAATAGGTGTCGAGGCCTCTCAGAAGTAGCCAGGGTTGAGGAGAAACAGAGAGAGAGGGGATTCCACAGGGACTTCCGTGCCCACTGGGCTGGTGGGGAAGACATTGGCTTCTGTGAGGCCTGTGTGTTGTGAAGCACTGCTGGGTGTGAGGGAGAAGGCTTCTTGTCACCAAGGGAAATTGGGGGCCAAGGGCAAAACCATCCCATTCCCTTTGTGGGGGGGGCGAGCTCTGTACCTCTAAGGCTAAACTCTAGGGGGGAACCAGAACTGTTAAACTTCCACTTAACCAGCTGCTAACTGTGCTTTTAAATGTCCACTGGGGACTTCCCCAACTAAAACCCCCCAATGTCACTTCCAGCCCCCTGTACCCGCGGGGCCTAAACATGCTGATAACCAGATGTGATAAATTCAGAACAGGACAAAAAGTTAAAGGGACTGTAACAGACATCGCTAATACCTGCAGCCCCGGCCACACGGGGCTGCTCTCTCCAGCGGGCGAACTTTAACCCTTTGAGGAGTTCATGGTGGGTGGGGGCGGGGACAGGAGCCACAGGGTCCTGTTTGCTGGCACTGCGTGGCTTCCTCTCCATTACCCACCTTCCTCTCCTGGAATCAGAGAGGCCAAGGGAGCAGCCTGGGCTGAGGTTGGGACAACTTGTGACCCCAGGGGTAGGCAGAGCTGGACAGGCCCTGCTGGGGGGAAGGGGAGGCGCTGTGGTCAAGATGAGGGATGAGCTTGGTCTGCGATTTCTAGAGAATGATGAGTTGGCCTTCCTGAGTGGGGAGGCAGGAACTCACATTTTGTGTGGCCTTGACCAAGTATCTCCTCGCCCTGGGCCTCAGTTCCCTCCTTGGACGGAGTCATGCTGTGAGGATGAGATGAGACGAGGAGGAGAGTGCCCAAGAGCAGGGGCTGGGCATCCCTGGAGGGGTATTTTACTGTCAGTGCCTGGCGTATGGAAGGGGCTTATACATATTTATCCAATGAATCATTTTCCAGTCCCGCAAGATGCTTCCCAGTAGAGAGATCTTGTAAAAGGAGTCTGGGAAGTGCCGAATTCTGTCTCCTCCTCTTGGCAGTGCACATGTGTGTTCATTTAGCGACGGCTCTGGGAAGTCCCACAGGGAGATCTGTTTCATTGTTCAATGTTTGCTTCCCAACTCGTTTGACCACTTCTCCTCCTTGTTTTTCTAATTATCTTCTACCTGGAGATAAACTTAGACTCATCCTCAAGGGCCTCCCTGGGTCTGGTGTTCCAGGGCCTAGCCCAGAGCCGCTGCCACCAGCCCTCTGCCTCTGTGGGCTCCTGTGCCCTCATGCATACACTGCTGTAGGGGCTGTCTTTGCCTGGGTAGAAAGTGGGAGGGTGCTGGGACAGAGGAGGGGCTGAGCAGGGGACCAGGGAGACACACCAATCACCCATCATGACCCGCGACTGGACAGGTGGTTGGGCATCTCAGATGCCTGGGTGTCCCAGGGAACCCGTGTTTCTAAAGAAAGCTGTGGGTTTTACAAGTTGGACTGTCCTCAGCCCAGGCTTTGGGGGTAGGGCTTACAGACACCTAACTCTAAACCAGATCTCTAACGAGGCACTAACCAGAGGCTAACAAGGGCTAAGCCAGATCTAAACTCCCCAGCGCCCGCAGCGGAAGGTCCGGGGAGAGGAGGGCAACGTAGTAATCCTTCTGCCCAAACCTTCCCCACCAAAATAATCAACACCAAAACCAAAGTTAAATCTAAACTTAAACATAATAAATGTCTTTTCTAAAAACCAAACCAAAGCAACAAACTCAGAGGGTTAAACTGACCCCCCAATCCACTAAAAACTAACAGAACAGCCACACCCCGGTGGGCATTCTGAGGTGTAATACTGCTGAGTGTGAAGCGAGATTGGAGCTGGAGCGGTTTTTTGGCTGTCAGCGAGCCAAGCAAGGTCCCTTTAACATTTTCCTTCTCTGTGCTTGCACGTCCAGGTGGGGAGGAGGGCTCCGCTTCCCAGGGCCGGCCCCTGGGCAGTGTCTGGGCCTTAGCAGGGGAGGAAGGGAGAGGGGAGCCCGGCCAGGGGACTAGGGCCTGGTGGTGGGCGGGAGGCCAGCCCAGAGCTGGCTGAGTGGGGCAGTCGCTGCTCCGCTGTCCCCTCAGTCCCCTCCTCCTCTGCTCCCACACACACTGACTCCACGTGGCCTGGCAGTCGCCTTCTCTGTCTCTACCTCTTTGTCTCCTCTATCTGCTGCTTGGAGGGCTCCATGGCTCGGGCTGGACACTGGGCGAGAAGATGGGGATGGAAACGAGGGAAGAGGAAGAGGAGGGGCAGTGCTCAGGGAGCGGGAGAGGAGGGGGACGGCATGCGCATGGTGGGGGGAGACGGGTGCCTGGGCTCCCTTGCCCCAGCCCACGTGTGTCCTGGGGCCCCTCCTCCTGGGGCCCTCCCCTAGCAGGGTTTGGGGCTGCGGCTGACGGACTTTCCCTCTGGTTGTCTGCCCCTTCCTCATCCCTCACCCCCACTTGGTGGTCTCCTTCCCCATTCCTCTATCCTCCCCGACTCCCCTCCATTCTCCCCACCCTTTCCTGGTCTGCCCCCAACTGCCTGCCCTGCCTCTGTCTGTCATCCCACCCTGCCCATTCCCCTTCCCCCAGGCCGCCAGCTGACCATCTTCAACAGCCAGGCTGCCATCAAGATTGGGGGCCGGGATCAGGGCCGCCCCTTCCAGGGCCAGGTGTCCGGCCTCTACTACAATGGGCTCAAGGTGCTGGCGCTGGCCGCCGAGAGCGACCCCAATGTGCGGACTGAGGGCCACCTGCGCCTGGTGGGGGAGGGGCCGTCCGTGTTGCTCAGTGCGGAGACCACGGCCACCACCCTGCTGGCTGACATGGCCACCACCATCATGGAGACCACCACCACCATGGCTACCACCACCACACGCCGGGGCCGCTCCCCCACGCTGAGGGACAGCACCACCCAGGTGAGGCCCCTCCAGCTGGTGGACAAGGGCAGCTTTGGGTGCCGACGGGCTGATGTCTGCGTTGCATTCGTGGTGCCCAGGTGATGGCCCGGGGGCTCTGCTGGGGTCCTGCCGGCTGCTGTCCCTGAACTCGTACAGAGATGGTACAGGTGAGGCGGGCAAGGTCACACTTCAGGAAGCGACCTTCATCCTGGTGACCAGGGCTATTGCTCACATAGGGCTGGCCACTCTTTTTAGAGGGAGGAGTTGTGGGAGGAGAACGGTACCCCAGCGAGCCAGAGAAGATCATCCAACCTAAAAAGGAGGAAGCCCAGACTAGCGACAAGGAGGGGGTGATGTCCACCCTCTCCCTGACGGGGAAGGCCGTGCCCAGTGCTGTGTGGGCAGTGATGGGAGATGATGGTACCAGCTGGCCCCCTCTGGGCAGAAGCAACAGCAGTGGAGGGACTAGACGTGGCCACCCAGTGGGGGAGGCCCTCTCCAGAGGCTGGCAGAGGTTAGCCGCAGCCTTCTCAGTGGGCCTCGGTGTCCTCTGTGTCTGCGGGTCTGAGAGGATGTCTGTACGCCGTTGCTGGTGCTCTCCTCTCCCCGAGTGCCCCCACTGCACCTGCTCAGGGGCAAGCCCTACTGAGAGGAAGGCCCACTGCTGGGAGGGGGCTGCACCTGGAGGATGGGGTTCCTCCAGGCCAAGATGGGCCTGGCTGTCTTGGCAGCCGAAGACGAGTGAGCACATGGGGCTCGCAGAGAGCCCAGTCGCGGGCCGAATTTCTCCGTTGTCCCACCAGCACCTCTGATTATTGGTCCAGGGAAGGCTTGCACCTGGCATATTGACCTTGTTTGGTTGAGCCTGGAAAGACTTCTGTCTTCCCAGGATGAGGGAAGGGACTAGGGGTGGCCATGAGGAAGAGTCACTACCTCTACCACCAATCCGTCTTCAGCTACGTGAGGGGTGGGCTCCATGTGCTCCAAGGCTCCTCCCCCCACCCTCATCCAGGTGAGAGATAAGCCTGCACCCCTCCCCACCCCTGCCTTCACTAGAAAGGACCCTGAGGGGTCTGAGTGCCTGGGGCCTTGTCCTTAGGGAGCAGAGGGCTCCAGGAGGAAGGCCTGAGCTCCACCCATGACTGGGCGCCTGCCATGCCCAGTGTCCTCTAAATCGTAGGGGAAGAAGGGCCATCTGGTGTCAGCGGGAGGGTGCTGGGCAGACCATCCGGATGGAAGAGAGAGGTGGGGGACCTGGCCTTATGGCTGTGCTGGAGAAGCATGACGGTGGTGGCTACTGCCGAGAGGCCAAGAGTGGTCAAGGCGAGATCTGTCCTGCAGGCCCCGCCTGGCCCTTGGGTGAGGACTGCCGTGTCTGAAGATGGGGGCTGGGGAGGGGTAGGGTATGAGTCTCACCCCTCCCATCCTTGGCCTTTGGGCTGGCCCTCTCGCCATCGTCTGTCTGGCTCTTGTTCTGCCTGGACGTTGGGTTTCCCTCCTTGGGTCTCTCCCCTAACACCCCCTGAGCGCCCCCTCCCTCTTACACTCACTCAGCTTGGGGATTCTCTTTCTGTGCAATCAGGAGGAGAGAAAATGCTGACAAAGTCGACTCTCGTTGTCATGGCAACCACAGCCCTAATTATCGTGTGCAGCCCGGTTCTCTCCGTCTCCGGGAAGGGGGCTGGGAGAGAGATGAGAGGTGATGGGGTGGTGAGGCTGGAGCCAGGGAACCCCTCTAGGTCCTGTTCCCCTCGACCTGTGCTTGCCTGCAGGAGACCCCCTATGCCTCACCTTCGTGACGCCGCTGCCCCGAGGCATCCTGGGCCCATGCTCTGGCCCTGCAGCCCCAGGTCTGGCATCCAGTGCCCTCCCTTCCCAGAAGTAAAGAGTACAGCACGTACTGTCTCATTGATCCTCAGAGCCCCAGAGCCTGCGGGGCTGCTGTTAAGTTGCCCTTTGCATGAGGCCCAAGGTCACCCAGCGAGTGATAGGAGACCTGGGACTTGGACCGCGGTTGTCTGCCTCAGCCCAGGGCTCCATCCCTGTGCCACTCCATACCTCAGGAGGTGGCAGTGGGGTCTGCTGACCAACTGGAACCTTTTCTTTCCCCACCCTTCCTCTCGTCTCTCAGAACACAGATGACCTCCTGGTGGCCTCGGCTGAGTGTCCGAGCGATGACGAGGACCTGGAGGAGTGTGAGCCCAGTACTGGTGAGTGCCTTTCCCCCCTCCCCTGCCCCGGGCCCACAGGACACTGCTGGGAGGGGGGCGACTGTCTCTGCCAGGCCCAAACCCAGGGCCTGCTACAGGCCTTAGCTTTCCCTTCCTCAGTCCCTTCAGGTCCCTCAGGTGCCCTTGGCAAGGTGCCTCTTGGTGCCCCACCCCTTAGAGATAGTGAGGTCCTTAGGCTGGGTCCTGGGGTCAAGGACTGAGTACTGGGTGGGAAAGAGGGAGACTTTTCCTTAGAAAGACAGTAACTGCAGCTCCCACAGTCCTTGGGGTGTGGGGTGGGCAATGCAGGCCTAGGAACTACAACTCCCATCAGCTCTTGGGTCCAGACTGCAACTCCCATCACCCCTTGGGGCCTGGCACTCTCTTTGCCACTAGTAGGGGAGATCTCTGCTTGGTCTTGAACCCTCCTCATCCCTGGTCTCAAGGAGGTATCCAGTGCGCTGATATGAAAGCTCCCAGGTGGACACTTTGCCAGGACTGCCAGGCCAAGGCAGGGCAGACACACATGCTTAGATCCAAAAAGACATGCGTGTGCCCACAGCGTGTGGGGTCAGGGGTCACCCTTAGGCTAGATATGCGTTCCCTGAAGCCTGGCCCAGAGCTGCTATAGGAGAAGAGCAGGACTGGGAGAGAGGGCTCCCTGGGAGTGGGGCCAGGGGAGGGGGCTTTCCAGGCCTCTCCTCGATGCTTCCAGCTGGAGCCAAGGATGCAGCCAGAGAGAGACAGGCCGGCAAAGCGGAGGTGGGCCTTACGTGCTGACTGAGAAGTGGGGTGTGAAGTGCTGCCGTGGCTTCCAGGGCTGCTCTTCTGAGCAGGTTGGAGTGGCTGAGAGGAGCTGGGCTGGGGGATGGGACACTTAAGGCTATGACAGGAAAGGATCGGATGTGGCCAGACTTCCCAGTGGGGAGCACAGGGCACTTTGGCAGTGGGAGCAGAGGGGCTACCTACATCTCCTGCTTGGGTTTCCAGAGACTTCTCCCATTACCTAGCTCTGGGTGGCACCTTGGCTGCTGATGTGGGAAGGCTGAAGGTTGGGGCAGGTGCCTGTAGGGTTGGGGCGGGGGCCGTGGTCAGCAGGCAGGAGGGTGCCCTGGGTACATCCTGTGACTCTGGCCTGGTGGACAGGCCTGGTGGGGTGGGGGGAGCCGACGGGCACCAGAAGAGACATTCCAGCCGAGGGTGGGCTGCAACCCTGAAGGGGTGTGGGTGGAGCAAGGAAGAGACAGGATCTGAGTGTGACAGTGGAGCCTTGGGACAGAGGCTCAGGTCCAAAGACCAAAGGCAGAGACTTCTGGGGCACAGGCCCTGGGACCCAGAGGCTGAAGCCTGGATTACCCTCTGTCTCTCCTCCCACTCCCACCCCAACCTCTCGGTAGGCCAGAGCTGAGAGTCTTAGGCTGGAAAGGCCTCCCACTCCACAGCCCAGGGCCTATGCTTTCTGGAATGGATGCCCTCTACTGGGAGGCCCCTCTGCTGGGAGCTGTCCCTCTTTCTCACTGGGCCAGCTTGGCTCTGGGACACTCCAACCCCATTGTTGCTTTGGGCAACTCTGGGCCTGAGGCAGCTTCAACACCAGCACTCCCTGTCAGCCCTGCTTCACTTCTTACGCTCTAGGTACTTCCTGGGGGCTACTACAGGCTGATGAGGCACCTCTAGCCCAGGCTTGCCAGAAGCAGAATGACCCCACGAAGCCCTGGGATGGGGCTCTAGGACAAAGGATGGTGTGTGTCATGAGAAAAAGAGCTGTCTGGCCCCATCACATGTGTTCGCACACCTATGCCCATGTTCACGTTCTGGGACAAGAACTCCTGGGAGACAGGAGTCTCTGGTTCCCCTGGACTCTGGAGAGGGCCTTCTGGGGCAAGATGATCACATGCAGGGTGCGCAGCACACACTGGGCCCCGCCAGGGCCGCACCAGCCACTGAGGTTCTGTCTTGGCATCCAGCCAGGGGCCTGACGTGACACTGGTGTGTGCTGGAGGTCTGTGCTTTCAGGCTGCGCTAGGATGCCGGGCTGAGGAGGGGCTGCAGCGGGCAGTCAGCTGCTCCCGCAAGCAGGGCTCTGTGAAGTTGCCGACCTCTGGGCCTCCTGGGAAAAAGACCAAGGATATGAGGGGAGGCTGGCAGTGGAGGAAGGCTAGAAGCCAGAGATTAGGAGGGGCTGCTGGCCCAGCACTCTGCTTTAAAAATAAGGCAGCTGGGCCAGCCGGGGGCGTGGTGGTTAGGTGGCTGGATTCCACATGGCTGATCGTGTGATTTGGGTCTTGGACCTGGCAGCCTGAGATGTATTGGGCATGTGTGCATGCCTCAAATCCGAGAGGAGAATGAAGAAGGGATTATGACATGGCCATCCCCCCTGGGAGGTGCTTTCTCTCTCTCTTTATCTCTCTGTCTTTCTCCAGTGGCAAGCACACCTGCCCTATAGGAAATAAAAATACAGTTTTAAAAAGGTAGCAAGGGAGAGTAGAGTGCACACTGGGAGGGTAGAGTCCCCACCCCCATCCCCCAGGAAACTGCTGGAATCCAGACTCCCCCAGCCCTGCTTCGTACCTGTTTACACATCCACACCCATACAACTCTGAAAAGCTTAAAGTTGAATCCTCCTCTTCCTGATAGGAGGCCAGGCCAAGACCAAGATGTATCCAGGGTCTACGGGAGGGTGTACACCATGCCGTGCTCTTAGAGCCTCTCTAGCCAGAGCCTCTCCCAAGCTCCTGGTGCAAGGTGGCTCTTCTCTGGCAGAGAGTCAGCCTCCCTTGGCTCTAAGGTCAGTGTCAGAGGTGGAGGCAGCTTGGCTGGAGACTCTCTGACAGCCCAGAGCCTGACCCCAGGGTTTTTGCACATTTCCCACCTTCCAGATCCCTTTCCCTGGGTCCAAGTATGGGGCTTGGGATCCTTTCTGCTAACCTTTCCAATCTTTCCCCTAACCTGGACCCCTCCACGGATTCCAGGCCCTAAACTGCCCTCTTGCCTTGCCGAAACCATCAACCAACAAGGTTATTTGACCTGGGGTTGGCAAGCCAGCCAAAGAAAGGCATTGTTGGAATCCTTTTGAATCGGAGTACCTTTAGGGGGGTACACATCATAGAGTTGGCAATGTGACCCACAATGCTGTCTCGCTGGCCTGGCCTTCGCTTTGTATTCCGGGCTTGGCCCCCGTAGGTATCTGACTTTGCACCCGCTGAGACACAGAGGAAGAGCACACCCAGACTCAGCCCCACAAAGACACACGTTGGTGTGCAGACCCATGTGCTCTGACCAGAGGGACACACCCATACACCCATGCACACATACTTACAGACCCACTGGCAGGTTCACATGTCCTCATTTCCACATGCACACATATGTCCCAAAGTAGAAAAGCACATACCATTCATTCTGAGACCAGCAAAGATGCACACATGCTTAGACCCAAGAGACTTGTATGTGCAGAGACCCTGCCCTCATACACATAGATACACCCTGTTCAGACCCACACAGGCACAATCCCATGTATGCATGCACAATCTCATAAAGGCATGCACATGAATCAGCCACTGAGTCTTGCATGTGTTTGCTTAGAGCTCCCAAAATACCCACAGGTGTGCTCAGACCACAGGTGCTCACCTGCTTAACATGTAAGGTTCACATTTACACATGCTCAGCCGCACAAAGGCTTATACACACTCGGACACCATGTGTCTTAAACCCATCAGACACTCGTGTGTGCTCAGAGCTATGCATACATGCATCCCCAAACCCACTGAGGCACACTCACACATGGTCCTATCTCATTGTCATGCATGCCAAATGCTAAGAACCACACACGTATGCTATGACCTGTAGACACACGTATTTCACTCAGATGTGTATGAATCTGTGTGATTTCTGTGTGAATGCCCATGTGCTCAGATTAATTGAAGCACATGCCTTGTGACATGTCCTTGGACTCACAGCATTACACATCCATATGCAGCTCAGAGGCACACACGTGTGTCCAGGTCCCCCTGTGTAACACACACTCCCGTGTTAGACTTACAGATGATCACATTGGTTTCAGAACCACAGAGACCTGTATGCATGTTCAGGTCGGGCGTGGACACAATGTGCTCAAACCTACCCAAGAAGTACACATCCATGTCCAGTGCACATGTGTTACGGCCCCACCCAAGTATTCTCACTGGTGCACGTGCACATCTGCAGAGGGGAGTACTTATGCACCGTGTCCCTGCATGCAGAGATACACATGTGGACTGGCACTCAGGAGGGTGCACGTGTGCACATTCTTTGAGAACCTCAAGCTCTTCGGAAACCAAGGCCTAAAACGGGAGGAAACATCAGCTTGTGAACAGGAGTCAGCCCCAGGGGACCATACACGTGCATGCATTTGTTCAGCCTCACAGACCTGCCTGGTCCCCATTGCTCTATGAGAGGGGGCCCTCAGAGACACACCTCAGCTCATACCCACAGAGGCTTATACTTACATGCATACTCTGCTCATATACACATGCTCAGACCCATAGAAGTGCAGGCACCATGTGCTCAGTCCACAGGGGCACATACACACACACTCAGCCCTGCCGGTGCACTTACATGCTCACAGATACACATGCGGTGGCAGGCACACAGATATCCTTAGATCCATAGGGCACGCACCCATGTCCAGACCTGGTAAAATGCATGCCTGTGTGTTTGCACTTGGGTACGATCTGCAAGGGCATTCACATACACATGTGTATACTCAGATTTCTATAGGTCCGTGTGTGCTTAGATCCACACAAACAGCCTCATGTGTCTACCCCATGTGTGCATTCCTCCTCCGTGCAGAGGAATGAGACCCTCAGAGGCACACACAGCCTGGATTCCAGAGAGGCAGACACATTTATTTGCTTAGATCCACAGAAGCGCAAATGTGACCATATTCTTGGAGGGTCTCAAGGTGATACTAGTTGCACACTTCATGACTTAATGCATAGGAGTGGATTTCTCATTTGCATAAG